TCGTCATTATTATCATAGTCAAAATCAATTACCTCAACCACAACTAAGTCATTATTTAATTAATCTTCATTCTTGGAAATTAACTCATCAACCACATGAACCAACTCTTCATTGGAATTATCGCTTTCGTCAACAACAACACCTACAAATCGATTTAGAAGAAGAAGATCAATCAAGTGAATATTGGGATTGATGGTTTGAACAAAATTAATCAACTATACTTCTTCCATTTTCTGAAAATCAAGTTTATTGTCCTAAAATTCTTAATTTTCCATTAATGTCTAAACGTCGAAGGGAATTCTCGCCATCTCTTGAAATATCAAATAAACGTGAAAAATCTTCTCATTGTAAGTTTTATTAAAATATTTAATTAAAATGAAAATATTTTTTAGTTGAATTAAAACTTCCAAAACGAATATGGTCAAATACAAATTATGAAGAACATTTAATAAAAAGTCGTTATTATCATTTTAATTTTCATATAATAAGTTATAATATTTTTGCTCAAAAATTGATTAAAAATAATTTATTTGTTATATGATGATTGTTTGGAAGATAATCTTAAATAGAATAGAAGAAAAGAACATTTATTAAAAGAAATATTAAAACAAAATGCTGATGTATGTTTATGAAAAAATAAAACAAATAAATTTATAAATTTATTTTCTTTTTTTTTGTTAAGATAATTTGTTAACAAGAAATGCAAAAAGAGCATTATGAAAATGATTTTCAACCAAAAACGATTGATTATGGTAATAAAAAGAATATTAATTAATAAAATAAAAATATATTTATAGGATATGATTCAATTTATATAAAACGTTCTAGTGATAAATCAGATGGATGTAGTTTATTCTATAAAAAAATATCGATTAAAATTAATTAATAATAAAATAGTACCATTTTATCAAAAAGATATTCAAATTCTTGATAGGTATGTAAAAAAGATTGTGAAATATTATTTTACAGTAGTGGACAAAAGTCCCAGCCCTGGACAAAAGCTATCTAAACAAAGTTTGTTTGTTTTGAAACTTGTATTAAATCAAGGACTCAGGAAGTTCTGATAGTAGACAAGAGCTGGAGTCCTGCTTCCCCTATTGAGGTTAAGATATCAGATCAACACCAAAGATCTTTTCTTATTGTGTTATCTCGAGCTAGGAAAGAGATACTATGCCGCTCGATCCATTGTTGGAAAGCCTGGGTTTCGGTCTCTCTTCAGTAAAATTTCCATTACAAACTGACGTTTTGTTGTTAAGTAATGGCCTATATACTGCTTACCCATGGAACTGCTATATTACATTCTATCAGTATTCGATTCAAATCTCGAGCTAGGCTCAACCATTTGGTCTGAAAATTTTTTTGCAGACTGTATAAGCATCCACAAATCTATGCTAAAATTTTCAGAGTTATAGTCGATATAGAAGTGGAGATTCATATCATTCTATCTCTCTGAACTGACAGCTCTGAAAAATCATCAGAGTATGGTAAATCGAAGTGACCTTTCTGGCAGAGAGGTAGATCATTATCGGCATTGACTATTGCGTTAAAAATATTACGTTTACTTCAAGAAATCGAAAAGTAGCAGTATTTTCTTGATATATCACACAATTTCGTCAAAAATATTAAGAAAAAATTCTTGGTGCGAACCTAATATCTCAGTCTCAGTAAGGGAAGCAGGACTAGAGCTCTTGCCTACGATCAGAACTCATTGAGTACTTGCTTTGGTACAAGTTCTAAAACAAGCAAACTTTATCGAAATAGTTTTCGAACAGGACCAGGACTTTTGTCCATTACTGTATCAATTATTCATGGATCACCAAGAACTGGTAAATAAAATTTCTTTATTAGAAAAACGAATAAAAATATTTGTAAAAGATAAAACAACAACAATAGTTGAATATATATAACAAGAAGCATTAAAACATGATGGAAAAATTCTTTGTTGTGCTCCATCAAATATAGCAGTTGATAATCTTATTGAACGTCTTGGAAGAAAAAAAGAATTTAAATTAATTCGTCTTGGTCATCCAGCACGTTTACTTGAATCAATACAATGTTTTTCACTAGAATCAATTGTTATGGAAAATTATCAAGATGTTAAAAATACTTTAAGAAAAGATTTAAATCAATGTTTTATAAGTTAATATTTATTTTTTTATTTCAAAATAAATAATTATTTATTAAAAGAATAAATTAAGAAAATCATCAATAAATCGTAATGAACGTGAAGAATTAAAAAAAGAAATAAAAAATCTTCGAAAAGATATTAATCCTTTTGCGGCAGGGTTATTTTTAGTGAACAACTGGTTCATATTTGATGAGAAAGTAGTCTTTATCACACTTTGTAAAAAAAGCTTATGCATTTGGCAGTTAAAGTTATCCTTTCTATTGCTGAAAGTCCTAGCAACCAGTTGGCTCCACCGTTTATAATATAGTTTTTATTAGAAGTTTTCAATGTATGATAGGTCTGGAAAAAGAATGCAACCCATAAGCCAACACTTCATTCTCTGTACTCGTAGATAGTCTTTGCTTCCTATTCTGAATCACAGGTAGTGTGGCTGTAGGCGAAGCAAGTCTTCAGCAATCAATGGAGCTTTCCATTTTTGACGGAAGTGTAGTGCCGTAATGCACACAGATATCGCTGTTGGTCATTCTCCGCGACAGTTCGATTTTTCAACGCTAAATTCTTCCACAAGCGCTCGAACTACTATCAGTTAGAAGCGAACAGGAACGATATTTTCTTCGATTTTCAGTTCGTATAGCATACAGGCATTGAAGAGTGAAATATCGAGTAAACGGAAGTATAAAACTGCACTTTGAGGAAGATTTGATATCTGTATGAGAGAAAAATGGCACCGTCCCATATATGGGACGCCTGCCGCGAAAGGGTTCAAAAATATATGAAGAAAAAGCAAGTAGAGAAGGAATGAAATCAGTTAATGTTATTCTTTGTACATTAACATCAGCAACGGATGATAGTCCATTAAAATTATAATCATTTAATTATTTTGATTTAGTTGTTATTGATGAATGTTCACAAGTATTTATTTAATCAATATAAATTAAGAATAAGTTTTAATTTAATTCTTTTTCATTTTTAGGTACTTGAAGTTGCCTGTTGGCTTGATTTACTTCGAGTAACAAAATGTGTTTTAGCTGGTGATCATTGACAATTACTACCAACTATATTAAGTGAAAAAGCTACAAAAGATGATTTAGCAATTACATTAATAGAAAGATTAATTCAACAATTTGGAAATCAAGTTTGTATTTTGTTATTTTATCATATTTATGTCATATCCAAGTTACATCGACTAACGAACGTTATCAATTTGTCATATATTTGTGTCAAAGTGATTTCAAATCAATCAAATATCAATTTAAAAACATGAAAATCATTTTTATTAAAACAAAGAAAAGAAAACATTCAGAAAATAAGATATCAAGATCAAGATAATTAAATGCTGTACATGATTGTACATCTATTTAGACGACACCAAGCTTTCTAGATAATGAAATCGATCTATAAGATACTATACTCTGATATGAATAACATCTTAGTCCTATACTGATTAAAAAAAAATAACAAATACAAGAACAGATTGAAAGATACCAGCCTTCAAAACACACTGAGACAAACAAAAAATTTGCATGACCTAATTTTTCATATTTATCTCATTTAGCATTATTTATCCATCAAGCTATTATGTATCCGCAGTTAGTTATATCACATTGATTTCATTTTTGCTTTTACTATTAACTGAGTGTCCACCTTGTCTACAATACTAATCTTCATATTTTATATCAAAATGAACACAAAGATTTATGAAAAATCCAACAAGTTACGGAATAAGATAAATGATGAAAGTTGTTCTGACTAAACATTTAAATATTGTATAAATGATAATGTAGCATTCTAGAAATCTATTTTATTAGCTAAAAAGCTTAGTGTTGTTTGAATAGATCTATAATAATGTACAGTATTTAACTATCTTTAGTTTCTTTTCTTTTTACTAATAAAAATGATTTCCATGTTTTTTAAATTGATATTTAATTAATCTGAAATAATATCGTCAGTCGGTATAATTTCGATACGATATATAAACATATAGATCATTTTAAAAATCCAAGAGAATATTTTGAAGAGTTTTTAATGAAGAAAAAAAAAGAAAAGATTTAATTATAAAATAGATAATTCGTATGTTAACAATTCAATATCGAATGAATGAATTGGTCATAAAATAAATTTTATGAAGGAAAATTAATTGCTGATAAATCAGTTAAAAATTATTTATTAAAAGATTTAAAAAATATTTCCAAGAAAGAAAATGATGATGAAAATTTATCTGAATGTTCATT